GACAGAGAGAGAGAGAGAGAGACAGAGTCTTCAAACTGAGTATACCTGATCAGACCACATATATTTTTTGTATCGGAATTCCTTGAGCATAACCTGTGTACCATGGTAGGCATCTTTCAAACCAACTCCCAAAAGACAGCTTTTCATTGTTCTGAAGTTTTAAAAATAGCTTTTCAAAAGCATATGAGAGTATGCTAGAAAAACGCATATTATTGTGAAATACAGTATGAGGAATTTTCCATGTCGTCAAATGCTTTCCCTATATCCTATACCTGGCGATAAAGGAAAGCTAATAACATTTTAGAGATTACCAGTTATGTATGTATGTAAGTACACATGCATATAATATCCATTTACTGCCACATATTTTTAAATTAACTGATGAATTTTTTTCAAGCAAAATAAAAAATGTTTTGAGCATACATACCTTTCTATTTAAGGACTAGATTTAGAGCTTTGCTGACGGTTACAGGAAGACTTTGATGTACCATACCGACAGACTATCTTCCATATTAATTTCAGATAAACAACTCAAAGTGAAAACATGTCAAATCTAGATGAATATTTTGGTGCTCTTTTAATTGTTTTCCTAAAAAATTGAAATTTATTAGCGTATCTCTTTAACAGATTATTGAGCAAATTGAATATAATGCTCAAAGTATTCATTCAATGAAATAAATGTAATATTCTTATCAAGTAAGTGAAAAGCAAACTTTAAAAGAACATTTTTACTTGAAATTATCCTTAAACAAAGGAACAAACTGCATGTCTCTAATATCACTACTCTTTGACACCAGATGATTGCAAAGACATTTGATGCAATTCTTAAATATGCAGTGAATTCCAGACTGTTGTGGTAAGAAAGGGAGTCAATGTCTTATAAACAATAAACATATAAGTAAATAAGTTTCCATACACATAAACTATATGTCATATATTGTTCTCAAGGGCCAGGAATTCAACATGTAAGCCACAAATGACTTGTTATTTCTGCTGACTTTGTAGAGTGTCTTAGTTTAAATTTTGATTTTTTAATTGAGCTTTTGCGATTTTCATGCAATATACTTTATGCTATTAGAATTCCCTCTGCTATCCGGACCTCCCCCTACAGCCCCCCATTCAGAAAATTGTTCTGGGTTCCATCTGCCAATGAGGTCTGAATGAGCAGCAGCATCCCCAACACAGCAGATGGTTTTGTTCATAAAGTCACACTGCAAGGACAGGTACTTACATTCATCCCTCCAGACACCATCCCCGATGTCTCTTCCCCTGACTGTAGTGAGTGTGCACTGTCCCTTCAACCTTAGAACCAAAGAAACGTAACTTTCATTACTCCTTCTCATCATTCAACGTTTGGAAAATATCAATGTTATTCACGTTTTAATCATCATATAAGGTCATATAGATCCATATGCCATTACTCAGTGAATACGTGTTTATCGTAATGCTCATGACTTTTGGTTTTATGTGCATGTTTCTAGTGTATGTATGTATGCAAGCGCACCCATGTCGTCCTACATGTGCAAAGTACGGAAGACGGCGTCAGATCCCCTGGAACTGGGGATATGGACAGTTGTTAGCTGCCACGTGGGTGCTGGGATATGGACCTTGGTCCTCTGCAAGAGCAGCCGGTACTCTTAACCTCTGAATCATCTCTCCAGCCCCCTAGGTTTTAATTTTTATTTTCTAAACCAGTACACCCAGCTATGAAAAAATACAGAGGATTCTGTAGATTTACGTTACTAATGATGATCTGCCTTCATTGGTTGAACACAATCATTCAAGTTTCAGAAGGAATATTACTGAGGTTACACCTCGGGGAAAGGGATTTACATGGCCAGGTGTGGTAGCTACTCCTTTAATCCCTGCACTCAGGAGACACTGCACATTGCTCTCTAAGACTTAGACCAGTGGAGTCTATGTAATGATTTCCAGTAAAATGTGGGTACAGAGAGATGCTGTCTCAAAAAGATCAAATAAGTAAGTAAGCAAGTAAATAAATAAATAAATGGATTTCAAAACTGGGCTTATATGTCCTATTTATAGAAGACATTGAGAACTCTCTGGAGAAATTAGAACATAGGTGGTGATGGCCCACACGGTCACACCATTCACGTTTTGGGTGTAGGTGGTTGTGTGAATGCATTCTAAATGATAAAATCCAAACTCAGTATTTCAACCTCAGACTTCGCAAAGAAAGCACGTCAATGACGTGGAGACGTTCGGTTCCTTCGGAAGGTTCCTCAGGGAGGCCAAGGCCTCCTGATCGGGAAAGAAAATGTCTCTAATGCTAACGATGAGGCATCAGTTTCTTGGACATAAGCAAGATGTTTTCCTGCAAATTGGAGGGTATGCGGTTTTTCAGAGGTAGAAAACGATCTCTGTGGATTCAAGGCCACATCGCTTACTGGACTTGAAAGATGATGTCGAGTTCTTGACACTTCGAATAGCACTGGAGTCTCCGAATGTACATTCTCAGGGGTTTATCCTCCTGGATCTTTTCTCTGTCATCTGCAGCTATGGCAACAGTGTACCAAACTCCAGAAATCTGAAAAGAAACAGACCGTCGGATAATTGAGTGGAAATTACCATAGATCTTCGCAATCCTTGCAAGTTTTAACTCAGTACAGACATCAGCCAATCAATCAGCACAGTCATGTTGACCATGTCGGATTTCTGTTTCCAGGAGTATAGTAATGCCCTGGGCAATACACTGACTTACATTAACATAGAAACAAGGACCTGACAGTTTCTAAACAGCACACAGGTCCTCAAATCCTCTGCTAAACAAAAGTCTCCTTATCTTTAACTTTATCACCCCAGAGGGGAAAAAAAAAGAAATATCAACTGGTGGGAAGAATTTAAGCGTTTGAAAGAATTGTTGATTCATAAGAAGGGACTGACAGGAATACAATCCCAGCTCCTACCTATCTTACTGATTGATAAGTGCACTCTCGCATACAAATATATCTGATAGACTTACGTCTTTAGCCCGAGCCAAGCCAAACAAGCCAAACACGAGAGCCACCAGCAGAAACTTCATCATGATAGTGCTGGTCTTGAATTGTGCTCAGTAGTAGATCCGAGTAGTGGAGTGGTTGTGAAAGCTCAAAACAGACCACAACTATATATGCAGTTAGTCTGATGGGCTGATGTGCATCCAACCAATGGTCTCTCATCATAACAACCGAGGCTCAGTTCTTCTGCTTTGGCCCTGACGAACCTTGCATAACCTTTCGTTTCTCAACCATCCGAAAAACAGGTTTTGCTGAGATGAGAAATTTTGCTTTGTGTCAGAATGGACTCCTGATCCCTAGGACAGGGATCGAGGGCGGTGAACTTTGCAACTTGAATCCCCTTGTGTTTAAACGGTGGGTGGTAATGTGTTTAATTACAGACTACACCTATTTCTAATTTCTTATATATTTGGACTTCAGGACATGTTTGAACTTACCTCAAAAAGCTAAGTGTATCTCTTTAAATCAATGTGAAACCCTGGCATTTTTAGCATGAATATGTGTTACAAAATATTTTTCAAGGGCTCCTGTTTAAAGTCAAGGATCTATTCCATCCTGTGTGTTCTTTAAAAAATATTTTTCTTGAGTCTTTGTGGATTTCATACAGTAGTTCTTAAGTTTAGACCCTTCTCCCCATCAATGCTCCCCTCCCCATGACCCTTCACTGGACATCATGTGTTTGCTATTCAGAAATTTGATATTTCCATGTGTGAAAGTGAACTACGTACTAGAACTCAGGGTACATGGCAGAAAAATTTGAAAAGTAATTATATAAATTATCACAAAGAAATCTGGCAGATCTACAGCAATGGAAACTGTGAGGAATAACTTCATTGCTAAAAAATACTGAGTGATATCAGTTCAAGGTCTAACATTAAAGATTTTTATTTTAAAATTAGACCATAATTATAGTGCTATAACTGAACCTTTTTTGTCTGGGATAAATGTTTAAGGGTCTTCAGGCATAGGACCCTATCAACTAGTTCTCACGCAAAATCAAAAAGCGTGGAAGAAGCTTGTATTTTTTGAGGACTGACTTCCTTAATAATTCATAAAGAATTTTCCCACAAGTGACTCTGGAACTTTGGTTTAAGATACTCGACTTGATGAGCAACGTCACCAGCTTAGCAAGTCATCTTCTTTCAAATGCTTTTTAAAAGCATTTAACTGGTTTATAAGATAAATGTTTTCCATATGACAGTTTTTCACGTTTTCACTTTGTTAACACCAACCACTCCCCCATCGCCCCACACTCACCCCCCTTGAGTCAACCTTTCCAGCCTCAAGATTCACCCTCCCACTTTTCACAGTCCGTACCTACTACCACGTGCAAAAGGGCATCACGGCCATGACCCCTTTCTGATCTTTTTGCTTCTGTGATTGTCCTGCACATATTTTTTATAAAATACAAAGGCCCTTTTGGGCTTTAATATAGAGCCTCTGTTTGCAAGGGATGTTGGACAGTACAGAGACTCCTGGGTCCTCAGTGCTCTGGCAATAAGTGATTATTGAGGGATGAGTTCTAAACTGACATTCGTACCAGACTCTCTAAAGATTGGAGAATATGTGGAAAGAACACATGGTATAGAAAGGCAGGGAGTTAGAAATAATAACATCTGTGGTCACTTCTTGTCTACACTGTGTCATGAGGACGCCCCCAGTTCTGGACAGAATGGAGCCTTATGTGATCTGTCCAATTCTATATTTGCAGAAACTCCGTGGGTGAGGGATTGATTTTAATGTTTTTCTCATCTGGCATAGTCCTATGAGTTTTCTATACTATGCTTGGCCTACTTAACGTCCATGTAACACTGAGCCATTATAAGCTAGAGGCCACGTTATAATCTAAATAAACATTGACTAATATGGTTTTGACATTTTGACCTTTCCAAGAACCTGGTGCTTCACATACGGTGTTTCTCAAGAATCATGAGCATCTGTTTCTTGGTTTGAGACTTAGGACTGAAACTGGCGTGATAATTATTCTGGATAAATTTTGTTTCCCACCCCCACACACTGAGCTTTCTGTCTCTTCCATTATTTCATCAATATTTAAAGCATAAGTAACTTCGTGTGTGAGTTCAACCATAGTGTGAAAGTTGACTTACACTTTTGTAATTATATTTGTGATCTCTTACAGTTTTGGGGGGGAACACTAATATTTTCTGAACACATACATACATCACGTATTTAAAATATGCTGACAACACGCATGTTGTATTTCCCATGAAAATACTCTATTCTTATTCTTTTCAAAGTTGATATCCACATTTTGGTTACATTCCATCAAGAAGGAGGTGAAGAGACAGCTCAGCTGTTAGGAGCACTGACTGCTCTTGCAGACGACCTGGGTTCGAGTCCCAGCACCCGCATGCGGCTACGAACCATCTATAACTCCAGTTCCAGGGGAATCCAAAGCCTTCTTCCGACCTCCACGGCATTGCACGACACGGGTGCACTCGCATCCATGCAGACAATACACTCATACACATAAAACAAAAATTTTTAAAGGTGAAATTAATTTCTTTAAAAACAAGTCACATTTCAAGTAGTTCAAAGATGAGTCAATTATAACAGATCGAAAAGTAAATAGATGCCTAAATTTTCATTTGATTGGCAAATTATCTGAGAGTGCCCAATCTTCTCGGGGACTTACCTAATTTCAGGGTCCTGTATAAACACTCATACACATAAAACAAAAATTTTTAAAGGTGAAATTAATTTCTTTAAAAACAAGTCACATTTCAAGTAGTTCAAAGATGAGTCAATTATAACAGATCGAAAAGTAAATAGATGCCTAAATTTTCATTTGATTGGCAAATTATCTGAGAGTGCCCAATCTTCTCGGGGACTTACCTAATTTCAGGGTCCTGTATAACCCCAGGCACAGCGCTTTGCCCATCGGGATCGAGGTCAAAGCATAAATGGATGTTCCTTCCTTCCTCTGTCTTCTAGTAGGTGGACGGTCTGTGCACATGTCCTCTGTTGGGCTGAAACCATAAACACAAATCAACTTCCAGCTTCGCTATTGCAGAAGTTCCTTTTTTGTCGTAAACTTTTTGAGACACTCTG